CCATTTTCAAAACAAAACATGAAGTGTTTTGTTCCAATTTGGGCGATTTGGTCTATACTTGTTTGCTGCGCGCATAACGTAGTAATTCTAGGCTAATAATTGGTTTAAGAACACATAGCGTTTTCAAAATTGGATATCACGGTTAGTAGAGGCCGGTCTTCGGATCGGGCGAAAGGGGGTGCTCATAGCTGACTTTCCCCGATCGTACCCAAGCTCCCGAGCCGAGACAACTCCGGTGATGACGGACATGTGGCCTTCGGCACCGAGTCAGGGTTTCCTAAATTCCCCCATTTTAAAATATTTAGGTGGCGACTCTGTATCTGGCAAAGCAGTCCATGTTTGGCACTACTTTTTCAAAAATCTGTTTCTCAAAACGATTTGCCAGATTTGGACTCTTTGGTTCAGATTAAGAACCGTGACACAAAATCGAGAGTCCGAACTGTAGCGGCCCCTCGCGGACTTGTTACAGTATGCCGAGCTCCCGGAGGCTGTCCGGGATTTAGTTGACTTGACGGGGTTTGGGCCCTTCTGTACTGGGTTATCCCGTTGCCCTGCCAGGAGGACGCTGATGGCTGCCTTGGTGGATGGATGGTGGGACACCACCAACTCCTTCCATTTTTCCGCTACGGGGGACTTGACTATGACCTCCTTTGACTTTGCCGTGCTGACTGGCCTGGACATGGGAGGTTGGCCTATCCCTTATGATGAGGACATGGGTCAGTGGGAGGCGGCCTGGATATATTTGCTGGGGGCTCGCCCGCCTGTTGACAGAGCTTCAGGGAGAGTCCGATACACCTGGTTCTCTTCCCATTTCCAGCGGACGGAGATCGAGCCCGGGACTCCTGATGAGGCGGCACAGTATGCCCGCGGCTTCCTGATGTTCCTCTTTGGGACCACTTTGTTTTCCGACAGGGGGAACACTGTAGGGCTCTATCTGCTTAGTGCTTTGACGGACCTATCACAGGTCAGACGATACGACTGGGGTGGTGCCGGCCTGGCTACCCTTTATTGCTATATGAGCGCGACTTCCTGCGGACGGGGGGACTTACTTGGCGGCTACTGGAGAGCCTGGGAGGTACTTTCTGCCCTCTTGATTTACATTTCTGCTCCTCATTACTTGCACATTGCACACACGACGCACTTTATATTCTGTATCGTGCACTTTTGCCCTCAGCACTTCGTATCCTGCTCTGTTTTCCACAGTTATGGGTCTATGTGTACTTCCCGACATTGGCCCCGGAGATGTTGGCAGCGGAACCTCTCGTGACCCCATACTCACTGGTATTTGAAGGCCAGCACCGGCCAAGACCTCGGGAGTCTCTCCTTTAACTGCGGCAGTATTTCGACACGGTGCGGTCGTCGGAGGTATTTCAAAATTCTCAGTTCTTTCTGTTTTCACCTTTGATTTGTCCGGTACGTTTTTTATTTCTGCTTGATTTATGCGTTTGTTATCCGCAGATTACATGGCAGCCATGGGCGCCTTTGGGTGAGGGCCTCCGATTCCAGTTTGCCGGAGGATGGGGTGCCTCTCGATACAGGATCCTGTTCGAAGGGCCAGTTGGCAGGACATGGTTTTTGGGAGAGCGCTTCTTGCGTCAGGTCTGGGGGTACACCTCTCAGGACCCTCCTTCAGCACCCCCAGATGATATGCGGATTGCTGATATGCTCATTTCCCAGGATGTTGTTAATGCTATGCTGGGTACTGACGCCTTGCTATATCTGGAGGAGGGGGATTATGCTACTTACCGCCACATATACCTGATGCCTCCATTGACGGGAGCTCGTACTCCGACGATGAGGCCTGCTGGCATGCCATCTTCGAGCCAGGCCCGGGCTCGGACTGCAGACGCCCCTTCTACCAGCAGGGCTGGTACATCTAGAGGTGGGGTGGGTTGTTTCCCCCGATTCCTCCGACTTATCATCATGCCGGATGGCCAGACATGCCGACCGAGTTGACAGGATGGCGATACGGGGCCTCCTACACGATTCTGATAGAGCCTCCCATGCCTGACCATCGATACGTCATTGATCCTGACTCACCGCGGGTATGCCCCACTGTTTTTCATCTATCATTCAAACACTTTAGACATTCCTTTATTCACTGATGATTATGAGTTCGTATTTGCAGCCACCCAGAGAGTACATGGAGGGGGTGATCGGATTGGTGGCCTCACTTGAGGGCATGGTCTTGCGGAGAGAGGCGCAGCTGTCCGTCATGGGCTTCCAGGTACCCTTTAGTTTTTTGGCATTTATCATACTCCTGATGATATGCTGATTTCGAACATTTTACTGCTTTGATTGATTGTAGGTGTAGAGCACATCTGACACATCACATTCCTATACTGTATCTGCATGCATTCTCATTTCATGTAGTTTGCTTGCATCTGTATCTGATACACACATTTTGAGCTGATGTATTCAAATTGCACTCTTTATTTTCAGATGCCTCCAGTATATCCGGAGCCGCAGGCCAGGCCACCTGGGCCTTCTCGGGGAGCTGGGCCATCCAGGCCTTTTCGAGGAGCTGGAGGGGGGCCGTCTCGTAGGCGCAGGGCACACATTATAGAGGAGGAGCCCGATGAGGATGAAGAGGAGGAGGCTGCAGATCATCAGTCAGAGACATCAGCCGACAGAGAGGACGGCTCCGGTCTGGGTTCCGGGAGTGGAGGCGAGGCTGAGGGGGATCCCGAGGGTGACGACTCTGATTCAGATGATGACGATGGCGATGGTGGCGGAGAGTCTATTCCGCAGAAGAGGACGAGGAGGGCCTCTTATTCCTGCTCTTGAGAGCACAGATGCAGCTGTTTCCTGTTTTATTTATCTTTTTGCTAGTAGTTGTAGCACATTTGTACATTATCGGGCAGTTTTATTTTTGTAAAACTTGTGCCTTAGTCTGTAAAATGTTGTAACAAACGAGGCATGATGGAATGAAACAGCTTTTAAAAAAAAGTGTTGTATTTTAAACTCTTAGCATCATATCGCATCATTTTGCATCATAATGAGATTGAATGGAAACGTGCATTGTGCATTTTGCCCAGTCAGGTGGTGAACCGACGCAACAACTTAACTTTCTAAGATATAACAAAACCTTAGCAAGTTTACAACTCGATAAGCAAAACACAATAGTATTGACAACTCAAAACTCAAACAAAATTGCTTAAATAGAGTGTAACAACTTAAATAGAGTGTATTGACCGCAACAACCATTGTTGGCAAGGTCTCCGACAACACGCTCTTTGCTTGTGCCTGCTGTCTCACTTTCTGCTTTCCCCGGGCTTTGGCGGATCTAGCATCCGTCTGGTTGAAGTTGCTCAAGGTTTGAAAGAAGGAAAGAGCTGCATTGCCATGACCCTGGCCGAGACACTGATGGGCTTGGATTCTATCTATCGCCGGGAGACGACTATATTTGCTGGGAGTCCACTGCTGCTGCAGGTAATGTTTCCCATCCAATCTTACATATGTATTTGCTTACATCACTCGGCCCTCAGGCTCGGTTTTTCTCACAAAAACCCTTTTCTCACTTTTCTCTCACCGTACATCTCTTTATTCTTTATTCTCTCATTTTTCATCCCTCCCCAGGTATGGTTGATGGACAAATTACAGGTTGTGGATTCTTGCCCAGCCTACTTAGCTCGAGGCTATTTCTTTCGAGAGCGTCTAGTCGATGCCCCTGATGAAGGGTGGTGGTTTGACTGGATGTGCAATTTGTCTGCAGATCGCATTGCTTGGCGTTGTCCTTGGCTCAATCTCCCGGCAATGAGCTATAGCATGTCCCGGCTGATCGGGATCCAGTTGATTGGTCTGACCCACTGTGTGTTCTACTTTCCGTTCCGGTTCCTGTGCCAGTTCGGTCATGATCAGATTTGCCCGCCAGAGGGGATTGAGTACCCGGCTGCTTTCCTGGTTCGAGGTGCACAGCTTGCCCGATATGCCACAGCATGGAGGACTAGAGAGCTCCTGGCCCCTGCTCCCACTTTCAGTTGCACTTTGTCTGACGAGTGCTTGGATTGGCTCAATGAGGAGGCACAGATCGGGCCTAGGTTGACATCAGAGGCTTCGACCAACTCTGGGAGGGGGCACAGGGATACTTGACTTGACTATGCCCCGGATTTATTGCTTTACTAGTACTTTCAAGTTTTCTTTATGAATGTAATAAAAAAGCGACTTCGATTGTATGCAAGAGCAGGAGAACTTTGTTTTGAAATCAATGAAATTGAAGGTTGTGGTACTGAAAATTTTCGCTTTGGTCCAAAAATGGTCTTAGTTGTAAAGAGATTAATTTGAACAAAGTCAACTTTTATTAAAACTTTTCAAAACCATTTTCGATATGGATCAGAACTGGGCACGCCTAAGATCCGTCACTGAGATGCACAATCCCGGATCCTGGCAACTGGAAAGTTACCCCTAGTCTGAATAGTACCGCGGCAGTGTGTGGCAACAGAAAGTTGCCCCTAGTCTGAATACCGCTGCACCGTCGCGGCAACAGAAAGTTGCCTCTAGTCTGAATAGCACTGTACCGGAGATGGCGATAAATGCTGATGGATAAAGATGACTGAGATGGTCAAAATGGACAAAGTTGATCGGGAAAAAGTTTATGGCTGAACTTCAGGGTGAAGTTGCCTACGTATCCCAAAGATGGGAATCAAGCCTTACGTAGTTCAGGCTTAGGTTCACTCGGGTATTTTCACTCTCCTTTTACGCTCTAACTTTTGCCAAGGTCGCCCTTTGCGGGTTTTCAACCTTGCGAACTCAGTTTTTATATTTTTCAATTTTTTGCGCTCTGACTTTTGCCTAGGTCGTCCTTTCAGATTTTCGGCCTAGCGAGCCTCTCAAGGTTAATATTTCTTCAACTTGTCCATATTGATCGGTTGTGAGAACTCCAAGCCATCTAGATCCATCAGAACCACAGCTCCACCTGACCAGATAGCTTTGATGATGTAGGGACCAGTCCAATTGGGTTTGAACTTGCCCCTCGAGTCGTGGATGGGAGCTCGGTTGTCCTTGAGCACCAAATCTCCTTCCTTTAGATTCCTGGACTTAACTTTCTTGTTGAAAGCCCGGGCAATTCTGCGTTGATAGCCTTGAACATGGTACAGTGCTTTCAGTCTCCTCTCGTCAAAAAGCATGAGTTCCTCAAATCTGCTCTGCTGCCAATCCGCTTCGGCTATTTGACACTCAGCCAATACTCGTAATGACGGAACCTCAATCTCGATAGGTAGAACGGCCTCCATTCCATAAACCAACGAATACGGAGTCGCCTCGGTAGAAGTTCTAATTGAAGTCCTGTAGCCCCACAGAGCAAACGACAGCTTATCTGGCCAATCCCGGTAGGTTTCCACCATCTTCTACAGTATGTGTTTGATATTCTTGTTGGCGGCCTCGACCGCTCCGTTGGTTTGCGGTCGGTATGTGGATGACTTATGAAAAGCCACGTTGTATTTCTCCAACAAGTCAATCACTTCCTTCTTGAAGTGGGAACCATTATCTGAAATGACCTCGTTTGGGACCCCATAACGACAGATGATGTTATTTCTGATAAACTTCGCAACGTGCGACGCTTTCAACACCGCATATGATTGGGCCTCGACCCACTTTGTGAAATAATCTATCGCGACCAGGATGAACTCATGCCCATTCGACCCCTTTGGAGTGACAGCCTCGATCACATCGATTCCCCAAACTGAAAATGGCCATGGCGAAGTCATACTGTACAGTTTCGACGACGGGATGTTCATGCGATTTGCATGAATTTGACACTTGTGGCATCGCCGGACAAAACTGATACAATCCTCCTCCATAGTGGACCAGTAGTAACCCTGTCTGAGGATCTTCCGTGCTAGCATTACTCCGTTCATATGTGCTCCACATTCTCTTTCCGTTCCGGTTTCGGCGCCAGTTCGGTCATGATCAGACTTGCCCGGAAGAAGGGATTGAGTACCCTGCCACATTTCCGGTCCGAGGTACGCAACTAGCTCGGTATGCGACGGCATGGAGGATGAGAGAGCTTCTGGCCCCTGCTCCCACTTTTAGTTGCACCCTCTCTGATGAGTGCATAGATTGGTTCAATGAAGAGGCACAGATTGGGTCTTGTTTGGCATCAGAGGCTTCGACCAGCTCTGGTAGGGGACGCAGGAACACCTGACTATGCCTCGGATTTATTTGCTTTAATCAGAACTTTCAAGTTTTCTTTATGAATGTAATGAAAAG